ATTTTGATTCCAGTCATACCTCTTATACAGGATACCGAGTTACATAACTTTCAGGGACAAGTAACAAAACAATAACACATTAAAAAATCACAAAAGACCATATATAATAAATTTTTATTGAATAAAAACAACCCCATCGGTCTACAGTCTAGGGGAGATGTCACATTGTGTCTACTTGTCTTTTAATATAAAAGTAAGAAAGTGAGTTTCTGTGTTGGGTGTAAGGAGATGTCTGTGAGAAGTCATCCTATGGGATATTCGTGTCGGTCGCTGATGTGTCGTCTGGTGATGTTTTGATGGTGTGTGGTATTTTATAGTGGTTCGTTAAATTATATTTTCTTGTAAATTCTTGCAAACATTCTCTACATGTATGTCTTCGTCGTCTGTGTGCCGTATCGTGATGTCGTTTCAAACCATGTTTGCAGGTGAATGCATGCTCACATATGTCACATGTATAACGTATCATGGGTAGGTCGTCTACAGGAAAAATAGTGGTGTGTGAATTAACGTTACTGTCGTTGTTAGTCTTTACGCGTTTGTTGTTTGCTATGTCGTCATACATCGTATGTCGCTTTAATGGAATAGTGTTGGTCATGGTACGAGTTGTTTGGATCGCTGCTAGGGGTTGCATGGTTTGTCTGTCGGTCACGTATAGTGGTTGTGGAGTTTGTCTATCGGTTGCTGATGGGGTGTCGGTCGGTGATGTTTGGTTGGTGTGTGTTGTTTTACAATGTCTTGTTAAATTGTCAAGTCGTGTAAATAGATTCCCGCATGTTGTACAGAGATGTCCTTGTCGGCGGTGAACAGAGTCGTGATGTCTTGTCAAACCGTCTTTGCGGGTGAACACACGGTTGCATATGTCACACTTGTTACGGCTCATGGCTGGATGGGTGGTAGACTGGGCGGTTTGCATTATTGACGAAGTGTCTAGTAGTTGGATGACTGGGTAGGTCACTGGCTGTAGAATAAAAATAAATACATAAAATAAAATGCATGAAACAAAAATCATACTTAAAACAAAATTAAAAATGAACGTACCTATGGGTTTGAACGCGTAAGCTGAACGTGAAGTTAGCTGTGTGTGGAGATCCGAAATGGTGTAGTTGGATGTAGCTGAAACGTTTGGTTCAGTGGGTGCCTCGGGGATGGGTAGGTAGCTCAATAGGTTCGGTCGATGGTTAGTCTGTCTCGTAGGGTCGGTTGTACACTAAAAGGAATACATATGAATACTTATTTAGATACTTATTTATTTAAAGGGTATTTTAATGGGGTTAGCTCCCTTAAAACAAAAAGTAATATTAACCTTACCTTTAATAGAATAAACACGCACAAAAGATGTGGTCCGTATAGGGTTAGGTGGATGTGATGGTTGGTAAAGCTGGCGTGGGTTTAGTCTCAGGAGTCAACAGAGGTCGCAGGCTGGATAAGTCGCGGTGACGCTTGATTTGAAGTCCGAAGTTGAAGTGATTAGAACACAATTTTCGCGGTCATTTATCCGGTTGAACGGCCTAATTACAGCACCAGCTGTCGCACAACAGCTGTTGCATAATGACCTAAGTGCTTCGCGGAACGCTACTTAATGTATGTCGTTAATTACCATAACCCGTCAACCGAGCGGGGGTAACTCGGTGAAGCATAACAAAAAAATTTAATTAGGTGGGACATCATGCTGTGATGGGCCAGCGGCTGCGATCAATACATTCCCATTAAAACGGGCAGCGGTGAGAAAACTTCGCGGGCGGGTCGATACGTAACAGCTGTGGCTGATCGTTATCTTTAATGGATGTTATTCACAAAGTACACGGCTAGTGTTAGTCTTTTATTTAAAACATACATACATTCAAACAAACCAACAAATTAAACAACAAAGAAAAGAAATATATCAAAGTAATTAAATTAAACAAAGTAATTGAAATCAAAGAAATAAAATGAATTTCAAACAAATAAGCAAATTACGTAACTCGTTAATAAAAATTACACAATATAAACAAAGTAATTAAATTAAACAACAAGTAAACAAACTAATTAAACAATCAAAGTAATTAAATTACATAACTAGTCAATAAAAATTCAAACTAATTATAAAATAAAATTAAAATTACGTAACTAGATACAAAATAAATAAAAATCAAATTAATTAAACTTATTAAAAATAAAAATAATTAAATTAAAAATAAACAAAATAAAAATAATTAAAAAGTTAAAATCAAACAAATACAAAATAAATAAAAAATCGAATTAATTAAACTTATTAAAAATAAACAAACAAAACACAAACAAAGTAATTAAAATCAAATTAATTAAAAAACAATAAAATTACGTAACTAGGTCAAAAATTAATTAAAATTTAAAAAACTCATTAAAACTAATTAAAAAACGCATTAAAATTACGTAACTAGGTCAATGATTACGTCATAATGTTACTAATTACGTCACAAGGTCACCGGTGGTGACCTACTGACCTACTCCCCCACCTGCTCACCCACCCTAGGGTGGGTGAGTATTTTACTATATCTCATTGTCCCAGGCTGCTCACCCACCCTCACCCACCTTCACCCAGGTGGGTGAGTATTTTCCTATATGTCATTGTCCCAGGCTGCGCCACCTGCTCACCCACCCTCACCCAGGTGGGTGAGTATTTTGCTATATGTCGGTGTACCTCCTGCTCACCCAGGGAGTATTTTACTATATCTCGTTGTCCCAGGCTCACCATCCTGCTCACCCAGGTGGGTGAGTATTTTGCTATATGTCATTGTCCCAGGCTGGGGGAGTATTTTCCTATATAGCCTTTGTTCCTGCTCCTGCTCCTGCTCCTGCTCACCCATGCGACCCAAAAGTGACCTAATATACTACTTGAAGAGCTCCACTAATTAGCGTAAGTTTGAGAGTCGAGAGATTCTATTGGCTGAACTGATGAAGGCAGGTAACAACTGCTGAAAGATGGGTTACAGAAGGCTGGGGGGTTATCGGGGGTGGGGGTTAAGGTTGGTGGGAAGGGGTAGGGGAATAAGAAAGAAAGGAACGAGCTGGGTTATTGGGGTGGAGGTGGATGTGGGTGGGGGGTTGTGGGTGGGGGGGGGGGGTTGTGGGTAGGGGGGATTGTGGTTGTTTGGGGGTTAGAAAGGAAGATATGAGCTGAGTTATTGGGGATGGGAGGGTGGGGTTAAGAAAGGAATATACTAGCTGAGTTATTGGGGGTGGGAGGTTGGGGGTTAATAAAGGAATATACTAGCTGAGTTATCGGGGTTTAGAGGGGATGGTGGACTAAGAATGATATTTGTTAAGTCCAAATGCTAATGGGTATATTTGGTTTTGTTATGTGATACTGAGGCCTGTGGCAGGCTTTGGTGACTGGATTTATTTATAACTAATTGGATATTTGGCTGTCGTAGGTGTATGGCTGTAAGAGTGTATAGTATAATGGTTGTCAGAGATAAAGGACTGTCGTATGGCTATTATAGATGTTTGACTATCGTAGCTATATGGCTTTTATAGATTTATGGCTTTTATAGATGTATGGCTTTTATAGATGGTTATCATAATAGTATGGCTGTTATAAATGTATAGCTTTTATAGATGTATGGCAATCATAGATGTACGGTTGTAGGAGCAGATAGATATAATGCTGTAGAGCAATGTAGATATATGAAGCTGTAAAGATAGGCAGATTTATCGCTGTTGTATAGCTGTGTTGCTATGTAGATGCATGGCTAGATTGTCATAAAAAATAGCTTATGTATTAAATCTACGTCTAGCTGGATAAATAGCGTTATTAATGTCGCGTTAGAATTATTCCGTTCCTTGTATTAAGATTTTTAGCGATCGTGTTCAGTGTAATAAGGTCAGTAGTATTGTATTGTGTCAAATGGTATCGTATGGTATGGTATCGTATCGTATAGTATTGTATTATGTCGTTTCGTATGATACGGTACGGTGTGGTGTGTAGTGGTATCGTATCGTATCGTATCGTATCGTATCGTATCGTATCGTATCGTATCGTATCGTATCGTATCGTATCGTATCGTATCGTATCGTACCGTACCGTACCGTATCGTACCGTATCGTATCGTATCGTATCGTATCGTATCGTATCGTATCGTATCGTATCGTATCGTATCGTATCGTATCGTATCGTATCGTATCTTATCGTATCTTATCGTATCTTATCTTATCTTATCTTATCTTATCTTATCTTATCTTATCTTATCTTATCTTATCTTATCGTATCGTATTGTATCGTATTGTATCGCCATAGGGATCTAAGACCAATGATCACAGGACAAATTATATCCAAATAATATCCCAGATATAATATCCCAGGCAAAATATCCAAGACAAAATATAACGGGACAAATGATCTCTCGAACAAAATATATCTGGAAAAAATATATCAGGAAAAATTATATAATGGAAAAAAAAACATGTCTGATAAAATATCAAAGACATAATACCTGATTGTAGATTATGCTCTTGAGATATTTTGCCTGTGATAATTTGTCTGAATTCATTATATAAAAAAAAACGAAAAAAAAGCATAGTATATATTTTAGTTTTTAGAATCCAAACTATGTCACATAACCATTTTTGCTTTCATTGCAAAAAAAATCACAGCTCAGCCTTTTTTTAAAGCAATTATTTTCATAAAAATCTGTATTAATATAATCAAATGCTGAAACTTAATTAAACAATTAGGAGTAAATTCATACTTAACAGTTGTGTATTAATTCTTGTATGTAATTAATGCATGCAGGTTATAAAGACTGGTTTATAAAATAATTGCAATGGGAGGATTTCTATCTTATTCTTTATTCTTAATTGTAAAAGCCGAGAGAATTTCCTCCATCATATTATATATATATATATATATATATATATATATATATATATATATATATATATATATATATATATATATATATATATATATATATATCCCATCCTTTATAAATAGCTGTATTAAATGCTTACAACCAAACAAGAAGAGACAACTAAAAGCCAAGTTATTTTTAAAAATAATAATTGTTTATTTATAACGTATCAAGAAATATTGAAATATATGTCACAATTTCACAAATAAACAATCATGTAATTACACAAATAGTACAATAATGCTTTAATCACACTGAGACTCGTCAAATGAAATCAATTCATATAAATTAATTCATTTTAATCGAGTACACAATTAATCTTTGGGTTAATAAATTTTAGATTTGGTTTTATTCACATAAAAATACATTTTTATATCAGCAATCACGCACATATTATTACAACTGAAAAAGATTATAAAAATAGAAAATGTGTTTGGTCACACGCAAAATTTAAAACAAAATGATTTGTTGATAATGGGGACAAATTAATACAAAATGTGAATCTGAGCATCGCATGAACTAATAGGAGATACATCACAATGGTATGCTACCACACTTATGTATCTCCCCACAAACTCACTCCTCGCTGATGTATCTATCTATCACACAATTATCATAAAAAATGCTTTTAAAATAAAATAATGTACAGGCTACTCCATGAAAAGTTTCTTGAGATCAGAACAAATTGTTTCAAACAAAAGCTTATGTGTTTAACAGAACCTACTTATATAATGAAGTATATGTCTGTAATTTAGCGCAAGTTGTAGTTATAGACTACATTACATAATGAAATATATATCTGTAGTCTTATGCCACATTTAAAGCAAGCACCGAGCACGCAATTTAACGACAGAAAACGAAATTAAAAAATAAACCAAATGTGAGTATAAAGCGAAAATCTTATGTACACAAATTTGTGATAAAACATGTATATTATTTAATGTACAACCCGTTCAAATCATATTTACACCCCGGCATCAACCCTATGTACAACCCGACAACCCGTGGAGGAATTAATAAGAGTAGAGCAGCTTGGCCAAGTCTGAAGCCTTCTCTGTTGGCGCCATGTGTCTGACCGTGCGGATGATCTGCTCCTTGTTGCCGTGCGTCATCGTGCTGGTGTTGGCGTTGAATTTGTTGATGACGTCAGCGTCGCTTAACGGGTTTCGCCAGTGGCCGTAAGGCGTGTCACAGCGACCTGTGATCTCAGACCCGTCCTGTGGTTTAGTAAAAAACAAACGTTATTTGTTAAGTTTTTTTTTTGTAGGTACCGTTTACTTCAAATATAAGATGTGTCAGCTTTAGTAGTCCGTGTTAGGTCTAAACACATTCATTTTAAAAGAAGGTCGTGTTTGCTTTAACTGAAGCGGTTCGGTGCAGAACACTAAACAAAGTGTTTTTTTTTTTACATAAAGAACGTGTTGAATTAAAAAGGGGAAGTAATCCACCACCTCTATTGCTGAAAGGGGAAGTAACTCACCAGGAGCTTGACCTGCACCTCGACATACATCTCGTTGAAAGATGGCTTGTTGTCCTCAGGACTCTCCACCTGCGTCTTCCTCAGCAGCTCCGCGAGCAGCTCACGTGACCTGTTGCTGTTGTGGTAGGACTGTGGGGTCACGTGACCGTCCAGCAGGGCCGTGCAGGCGTTAAATTGGAACGAGTGGCGGGCCTCGTGCATGGTGGAGGGGAGCGGGCGGTTGATGTATTTGGAGCTGTTAAATAGTAAACAAAAAAATGTTGCATTTCCAAAGGTAATTAGCAACTCTTTAATTCAATAATTTTGATGTATTTGGGGCTGTTAAATATTAAGTAAAATATGTTATTTTTCTAAAAGTAATCTAAAGATAACAATAATTTAATTTAATAATTATTCATTCTCTGAAAAAAATACTTGGAAAACCTTAGTGTGCATGGTAGGCAGCCTTCTGATATCAAACTTACCACATGGTTGTAATTAATATATCACGTAATTGGATACAAATCCCCCATAAGATATAAATCTAATTAGGGAGCCTTAAAGATGCTTAACTTATGCCGGGTAACATGTGATATAAATCTTCTTCGACGTGCAATTATGTAAATTTATATATGAATAAACAGAAGAGCCTTGCTAAATCTGACCGAAAAGCACTTCTAAGACAAATTAGCCCTCTAATGACTAATGAACCCTACTACAGAAGAGCCCAAGTAAAACGTACTGAAGGGCCCAACTAAAACTTACTGTAGAGTCCTACTAAAACGTACTTTGGAGCCCTGCTTAAACGTACTGAGAAACCTTACTAAAACTTTGGAGCCCTACTAAAAAAACTGAAGAGCCCTAAGACTTACAGTGGAGCCCTACTAAACCTACGCAAGGAGCCCTATTAAAACTTATTGAAGGGCCCTACTAAAACTTATTGAGAGTCCTACTAAAACCTACTTAAGGAGCCCTACTAAACCTAACTGAGAACCCTACTAAAACCTACATAAGGATCCCTACTAAGACTTACTGTGGAGCCCTACTGAACCTACGTAAGGAGGAACCCTACTAAAACTTACTGAAGAGCCCTACTAAAACTTATTGAGAGTCCTATTAAAACTTCTTAAGGAGCCCTACTTTTACTTACTGTGGAGCCCTGATGAGAACACTCTTGATGTTCTGAGCACTGAACGACTCGAGCTGATCCGTGATGTTGGCGCGGACGGCCAAGGCGGCATCAATTGTCCAGTGCATGCCGAGGTGGGCGGGGAATCTCTTGAGCGCGATGTCTTGTGTGTGGAGCAGGAACTCGGGGTTGCCGTAGTTCTCTGTCAAACACAGACATTAGAGTTATTTATAGAACACAGACATTAGGGTTATTTATAGAACACGGACATAAGAGTTATTTATAGAACACATACATTACAGTTATTTATAGAACACAGAGTTATTTATAAAACACAGACATTAGAGTTATTTATAGAATACAGACATTAGAGTTATTTATAGAACACAGACATTAGAGTTATTTATAGAACAAGGACACTAGAGTTATTCGTAGAACACAGACATTAGAGTTATTTATAGAACATAAACATAAGAGTTATTTATAGAACACAGACATTAGAGTTAGAGAATAACTGATACTGTTGTGTTCAGAGAAAACAAGAACGACACAAGTTGCACAATTGCTAGATGCACACAATCACAGACGTGTTTATGTTGCACGCAGTATTTGTTTTGTGATAAGTATAAGTAAAGTGTTACCTGCGAGTAAATTCTCCGGATCAAAGTCGTCGTAGAAAGCCCCAAACCCTGAGGGCATGTCTAGGATGTTGCTGTTGCCTTCAATACCTTGGTCAGCCAGAAGTGCCGCTTCCAGACCAAACCTAAAACATACGAAATAAATATAAGCATCCACTTTTTTATACAAATCATTTCTCAATGTTCGTTTCATCATTATCCATAACTGAGATAACCAGTTTTCTACCTAACTAACGATACTCTATTTTTAAACAACGAATTTTACCTGGCAGCTTTCCCAGCATGCAACGGTTTTGTTGTTGTTCCGGCATTGGCCATCGGGGCACCAGCAAACGACGCCGCGATGCCCAGGGCGTTTCTGCTTTTCTCAGGACCGAACCCAAGAAGGTTTGAACAGGCGGCGGCGCTACCCATGACGCCAACAACGGCAGGGGGGTGGAACCTGCAGACAACGAAGATTAGAATATAAAATAGAAATATAGGCTACCTACTTGTATAGGAGAAGCGGATGAACTTATATGTAATACGATGTGAAGTTAGTTTTAGAGTTGTTGAACTGTGTTAAAAATACTTTGCTGCTATACCTGCATGGAATACTTTTCGCCGAGGACGATGACCTCAGCAGAAGACCTTGAACTTGGATCCCTACGTTGTAGGCGACTAGGACCTGTTCTAAAGACGGACGCATGTCACCCGTCATGGACTCGGCCAATGCGATGATGGCGGGGAGGGTGGGTCCACTTGGGTGGGTGGCAGGATGCCAGGTGTCGTCAAAGTCCATGGAGTGTATGCTGACGCCATTGACGTAGGCAGCTGGTGGAGAGAAGTAAAAGTCACTTAATTTTACAGAAAACTCCAAAAAAAAATTAAGAAAACTAATTAAAAGATAATTAATTAAAAATATAATGTTACACGAAACGTACCTGTAGCAGGTGACGCCCTCGTGTTCTTTGACCCCCACAGCACCGACCCCGACAGACTGTTCCTCCCTGACGTCACCACCGAGTGCTCCAGCCCCACGCACGTCTTGGCGATCGTCTGGGCGATGTCCGTCTGGAATCCCAGGATCCCGACCCCCAGCGTGTCCAGCAGCATCCTCTTGCTGCGGTGGATGGTTTTCTCGGACAGCTGCTTCAGGCTGGTGTTGGCCACTAGGTCGGACATCCATGACGTCACAGAGGTCGCGGGCAGGTTCATTGGCAGAGCTGTTAAAAAAAAACAGAAGAAAAATTATGTGATTGTCAAGCTCAAGTTTAACTTTACTTTCAGTATTAAGTTCATATAATGTTCAAGCTTTATGTTCAAGTTGTTGTTGGTGCTCGAGTTAATTATTAGTTCAAGTATTATGTTCATATGAATGAGGTTTTCAAGTATTATGTTCATATGAATGAGGTTTTCAAGTTGAAGTAGTTCGAGTAGTTGTTGGTGCTCCTATCAATCAAAGTTGAAACACGGAAGTTCGTACTAGGTAGCATTGTTTTTATAAAGAAATATTGAATATGTATTAAGGGGGAAGTATCGCCCAGACTAAGGGAGAGAAACTCAAACAAAGGAAAAAACAAGAACTTTTAGACATACATATGTTAAATTTGTTTTACAGTGGTCGTAATAATAGAAGTGTAATACAGCATAAAAATTGCTGAATATAAGTGTAGCAAATATTTTGTAAAAATTAGCTTACTAGTACTTTCATATATTTTTAAATTTATTGTAAACAATTTTATTAAACCGTACTTAATTCTTATCTCACAGACAATTAATAACGCGCATTTCTATTTTCAAAGTCAATATAATCCTACCTGCTTGAGCCTTAATTATTTTAATAAGAAAAAAAATAAAAATATTAATATGTGTCTAATCTAATTGTACTCAACATAAAATTCTGGTTGCCAATAAAATGTGTATAATTTATGTTACTGTAATCCCTAATATTTTCAGCTCTATTTAATATCCCAAAACACAATCAGCTCACCACGCCGATGGAAAAAAAAATTCCTTGAATCATCATTTAATTACACATTTGCATTTTCAGGTTTAAAAAAATAATTAATTAGACGCTGTGTATTTGATCTATGTATAAGTAAACCATCTTAAATGAATGAAAGTAGGCTACATTTAAGAAAGTAGTATTTATATTGTAACTCTGTATCAGTCCTCACAAGCCGATGATGAAAACTGTAATACTAAAGCGAACATGCTAGGCAAACTGACGCTGTCAATTACATGTCTGAGGCGGGAATAAATGATTTTCTCTAATGAACTCAGATAACTTAAGACTTTGGGGAATGTAAGCATTGGCAAAAGTAACACTAAATGTCTACTAGGCCAAGTGTAGTTGAGCTTATCAAGTGCCTGACTAATACAAAACCTATAAAGGAATCTAGATCGTTCTTATTGGTTTATTTTACTAACCATAAACTTATTTTATATATAACAGCACATATTTGTAAAAAAAATTGTAAAAAATGAAAACTAATCTGTTTTATATATTACATCACAGCGCATATTTGTAAACTAAATTCTATTTTCTTTTATTAAAATTAGAACACATAATTTTTAAAATAATTTTTACATTTTCTAAAAATAAAATACGTATTAGTAAGAACAGTTGGTTTAATTTAACATTGAACTCACGTGCAGAGGCCGTGTGAGCGAATCTTCTCTCCGAAGCGCTCAGGGGTCTGTCCTCAGTACTGGATGAGTAGTCCTTCCTCCCGGCCTGGGAGAAGTCCTCGTACCCCACCAGGGTCGTCCTCTCCTCCTTGTGGCTCTGGGATCTCTGTGAGAGGTAAGAGGAGACATTGACGCCGCTGTTCAGCACCGTGATCCTTACCTCGCCGAAGCACTGACCCAACTTGGGGCAGAAGTTGGCCATCGAACTGTCCGGTGGGCCAACTTGAGTGTAAAGTTTTGAGTCGTGGGCCAACTCTGGTCTAACTCTTGGCGTCGTGGGCCAACTCAAGTGTAGCGTTTTAAGTCGTGGGCCAACTCTAAACTAACTCTTTGAGTCGTGGGCCAGCTCTAGACTAACTCTTTGCGTCGTGGGCCAACTCAAGTGTAAAGTTTTAAGTCGTGGGCCAACTCTGGTCTAACTCTTCGAGTCGTGGACCAACTTTGGTCTAATGCGTTGCGGCGTAAAAATTTTCAAGTGTGAGAAAAATTTCTGTTCCGGTTTTAACGGGTTTTATTTTCCATCTACAATATAATATTTTTTTTCTAAATAGTAAAACAATTTTAAAAAATGTAAAATCTAAATTTTTTGTCGTATTGTATCAATGAAATCGTTCCTTTATTAAAATAATGATATTTTTTTTTTACTTAATTGTTAAGGGGAAACTTTGAATTGTACCCGGCGAACTCGGCTGTGTAAGGTCTACCATCACAATGAATGAGAAAGAAGAAGAAACGAATCATTGGACATGATTTTGTTGAGCGAAAACAATGGCTCGTGACAAGGGAGGTAAGCACGAGATTCACAGCGCTGGGTCAAAGGGAGAGAAGACAGTACTGTTAAAGCGAAACAAGTACGTATTCGTGCGAGTGTTCGTTTGTCCGACTGGCCGCTTCTGTTGAACTGTGTTTACATGTGAATGGCCTGATCACGTGATGTGGTTCAAGTTGTTTGACTTTGTGTTTCAGGCTTTTTTTTTACAACCTAAACAACTACCATTCTTCCCCCCCCCCCCCCCCCCCCCAACCCCACCCTTACCGTAAAAAAATAACAACACTTAGTAAGTTATGTAACAAACTCTAAGAAACTATCTCAATAAGATGATACATTATTTAAAACATTAGTGTGGAGAAATACTTTTTTTTTAATGCATTTTTAGTTGTCGAAATAGTTAATGAATGATAAACCATGGATCGGTCCACCAATAAATACATTTGAAGTTTAAAAAAAAAAATTAAAAAAAAAAGATTATTAAGTACACTTATTTATCTCCCCTGTTTAACATTTGTTAACATTGGGGGGGGGGGGGGGATGGGCCTGTGCCAACTGTTGTTGTACTTATCAACCGTTGCTAAGCAAATTGTTTCACATGGCGACACATGGCAACATAGCCTTCAAGTAAAAGAATTCACGATATGGGTTGTCAGACACGTCCCTCTACACTTTAAAATCCCCTCTTTTAAAAGTATCGCCCCAAGGGAGAATTAAACACACAGACAACATAAGTAAAAGCTAGCCAAGTTGTATTAGACACTAATACATTAGCGAGCGTCTAGAATTTTACACAGAAAACAAGTTAAAGCTAGCCATGGTGTATTCGGTACTTACTTTAGCGAACTCGGGGAATTCGACAGAAAAGGAAGTTAAAACTAGCCATGGTGTATTCGGTACTTACTTTAGCGAGCGTCTGGAATTAAACTCAGAAAAAGGAAGTTAAAACTAGCCATGTTATATTCGATACTTACATTAGCGAGCGTTTGGAGATTTTACACAGAAAAAAAACCCGCTAGAACTAGACATATTGTATTTTTTTACACACAAAAAAAACCCCTCTAAAACTAGCCATGTTATATTTGATACTCACATTAGTGACTGTCTGGAATTGTCTGATTGCAGAGCCGGCTGACTGACGGGAGCCTAAGGTGTTGAGTTTCACTAGCTTGGACATGGTGATCTCCCTTACCAATGGCTGCTGTCTAAGTTCTCTTCCACAGGCTGTGTGTCTAGAGTTATCGTTACTTGTGTCTTGGGTACTGTTGACAAGATGCTGTCTAAGTTATCTTTGACAGGCTGTTGTCTAAGTTATACTTCACGGCCTGGTGTCTTGGATAGTGTCAAAGTATTCTTTAACGAGGTGTTTTCTTAAATGTTTGATTTAAGCTTTGGTTTATTTTTTTTTTTAATTCTTCAGGCTTTGAAGATTAAAAGCAATTCACGTCGAATCTAATAAAAAAACTTCTGAGTAGATTAAAGTCTTACGGCGCTTGAAAAGTTCCAGTTAAAATATAGTTTTAAGTTGTAACTTAGATAAGTTTTCTGCTCTAGAGATGTTGATTCAACTTGCTTAAGCTGCTCGATTGGCTTTACATTAGCTTAGCCGCCCAATTTATACTTCATTTCAATTGCGGGGTCGGTCAAAACAATCCGCCATCTATAAATAGCCTCAACTAGACTTCAGGGTTTTTCCAAAAAATAGTTAAGCCCGATTTTCCCATTTCGTTCTATGGCTAAAGGCTATAGCTACTCTCTCTCTAAAAACCGGATGTCCCCTCTCCCCCTATAGGGTGACCCCATCCTCTAGATTTTAACAGCTTAAAACATAGCGTCAATACTGTTTACCTTTTTTGTGTAGGAGGCGGATGTGCGCATGCGTCGTGGGTCACACCAAGCGAGGCAAAGACCGACCTAGTGGTAGACATGAACTAGGTCACAGTTGAATTCACTCTCTACTTTTTTTTTAAACAACATGATTGAAATTTTTTTATGTTGTTAAAAAAAAAAATTCTAACCAGGTCTAAAATCTTTGTGCGATCACAACAGTCACTTAACTAACCATTAGCACTAAAAGTTAACAGTTTTGTTAACTTTTCTACCGCTGGGGAAAAAAATGTTAACTACAGTGAGTGAGAGAGATTTAGCAAGGAAAAAAAAAATGAAATGTCAACAATCGTTAAGCTTTCGAAAAAATAAATTAAAAATCGTAGGTCCTTGTTTTTTTAGCGCTAAAGTGCTGATGCGAAGATGAAAAAAAAAAACTGCATGAAAATAAGTAAAGATTGTTAGTAATCATGAATAATAAGTAAAAAAAAAAATAGTATACAATAAATTTAGCATTTAAAAGAAATCAATTAATGAAATAATTGCTTTTCATTAGAAAAAAATCGCTATCAATATTAAAGTGCACTTGTCATTTTTCAATTAGGAAGATTGAAAACTTTATAAACAAGCATGAAATGTTCTCTGCCCCCCCCCCCCCCCCCCCCAGTTAACGAGTCTCATCAGCCCGGGGATGTTAGGGAATCGAGCTCAAGGCCTTCTTCGCGATAGGACTCGTGTGCTTTAAGTTCAACCACCTTGTTAACATCTCCCTCCTCTTTACCATGAGACACCGGGTCCTTTTAGGGTGTGGCACTTTAAGTTTTTCAGAACTTTTTCTCCTTAGGGGGTGGGGGGGGGGGGAGTTCTGGGGGAGGGGAAGTTCTGGGGGGGGAACTACTAAAAGTATATATTTTTAATTATAAAATGCTATTTCGTTTCGGAGGGTGGGGGATGGGGGATGGGGGACAGGGGTGGTAGACGAAGAGATGCCTGAAAGGAACACTCTGAACCAGAGGCGTAGAGAGGGGGGGGGGGTGCGGAACGCACCGGGTGACACCATTTAGGGGGGTGACACCAAGGCAAAAATAGCAAAATATATAGAGAAAAATTTGAGGGGGTGCAAATCGAAAGTTTGAGAGGGGGGTGCAAATTGAAAGTTTGAGGGGGGGGGGGGGGGGGTAAGGGTGCAAATCGAAAATTGAAAGTTTGTCCCCGGGAAGGGTCGCTACGCCTCTGGGGGGGGGGGACACCATTAAGTGCCGCACCGGGTGACACCCGACCTCGCTACGCCACTGCTCTGGACACTATGCTGACCTTCAACACCGCCACGTTCCCTCTCGGCTATCGTACTACCCACCACTAACCTAATTAGAAGAATATTACATATTGAGATATAATCACGTGATTATGACACTAGGGGTGTGTGAGTACTACGCAAACATAGGTCTTCAGCATGCAAATATCGATCTACAGTTCAAATCCTGATCGATTTTATCACAACCCTGGGTCATGACAACCTGATACAAAAATTGTCACAAGTCGATCGCGATCAAACAGATCGAAGGTCATGATCTGAGTCCAATAGATCGATAGTAGTGTTCGAACCTTTGGTAAGACAGTATAATAAGGTTGCACCTGGACTTGTGTGTGATCAGTGTTACTCACTGATCGAACACACAGGCCGACATGACATCATCTGTGGATTTACCTGTCGTTTTTATACAATAGCTAAGCGGCTTAGTTACAATAAGATGATGGCGCTCCCCCCCCCCCCTCTCTCTCTCTCTCCTATCCACCACACCGTTCAATAAAGTTTGTGTTCAATATTGAATAGGGAGAGACTTGATAACCTTATGATCTACAAATAAAAAATGACCTATTTCGTAAAAGTAGGTGACCCTTGAGGATTTTCATTTGAGTTGACATGAAGTATTAACATTAATTAACCTAATTAAATACAACAAAAATATAAATATAACATAATCGTTGTAAGGTTTAGCTCGTTCTTCTTCTTCTGCATTCTTACTTTTAGTGCTGGAAGAGATTTCAAACAACACAAGAATATCAACTTATTATGCGCCATATAGGCCGTTGACTGCGATTTCAGCCTGTTTTTCTTTTTTTTTAGCATTTGTCAAACCAAGAACAAACTACAAGGCAGCAGTTGTTTGATTATTGAGTTGTCTCTCCTAGAAGAGTGGCTGTCCCCGGCTAAAGGGCTTCATCTGTCAGAGGGCTCGAACTCGAGACTTTTCGGTTTAGCAACTAAATTTTCTGAGGGGTTGGGGAGGGGGCGGTACTGGGGGTGGGGGAGGGGTGTTACTGGTCAAAGTATATATTTTCTATATAAATTCTATTTCGTTCGGGGTTATGGGGTAGTAGACGTGCCCCCCCCCCCCACACCCCCCAGGAAAGGTGCCTGAAACACTGACCGTGATGCACATATGACAAACACATACAAACACGTTGACATATGGCACAAACATTGCTGACATATGACAAACATTTTGACACATAGCACAAACCTTGCTGACATATGACAAACATTTTGACACATAGCACAAACCTTGCTGACATATGACAAACACGATGACACACGGCACAATCCTTGCTGACATATGACACAAATCACGCGCATGGGAACACACCTGTGTACATACACGCTGTCGCATACGGCACACCGTCGCTCGATTGTTAACGTTATCAAATTTTCAGGGAAAATCTGGAGGGTTGGTCTAAAAATAGTAACATCAGCATCGCCATTGCTTTAACAGTGAGATCTTAAACCTAAACTCAATAGGGCTTGTAAGTAGGTCACCAGCTTCTCGTTTTCGTACTTGCCAGCTAAAACTTTGAAACCAAATGTAATTTTTTTTATTAAGTCGGTAAAAAAATAAATAAATAGAAATGTAGCTTCCGCTATTGTTATTTAAAACCGTAAACAATGATTATGATATACATCAATATACTGCACGATGAGGGCTTGCTTAAAGAACAATATAGCCTACGTTGATTTGTTATTTTTGTTTTTAAAGAAGTGTAAAGTTTGTTATTATTTATGAGAATCTTTAACAAGTTGTACTAAATGCAGTTAAAATATTAATAATAATATTAGTAGTAAAAATATATAATTGTTGTATTTTGAGGACTCTTAGTATTTTAAAATCTTGAAGCGAGGTATAGAAACGAAAACAAAAAAGCCGCCATGTTTTTGTTATCAAATCAAGTTCACAAAAATTAATTTAGTTCAAAAACATCTCTCCCTGGCTAACGAGATTTCGAATTGTAAGCGAGAGAGGCCGAGACTTACAAGCCCTATTGAGATGTGATGATTGTCTAAATACCCAATAGTGATATGATGATTGACAAAAGAATAGATTTGATAGTGATTGTTTGTAGATATAACTTAAGCGATTAAATAATAAATAAGTATTTGAAGACCTAATTTTAAAAAGAAATTCACCCTAAGACGTGTAATTTACAGCGTCAGTTTGCTTTGCCATGTTCGCTTTAGTATCACAGTTTTCATCTCCATCTTTTAGGACTGATACAGATTTACAATAGTAATACTTAATCATAACATGTAGCCTACTTTCTTTCACTTAAGATGGTTTACTTTTACATAGATCTAATACAAAGCGTACATTGAAGAGTAGAGAAAATAACTGTATTTTTTTGTTTTTTTTAAATTTATTTTAAAAAAAAAAAATAAAAAATAAAAAAATAAAAATAAAATAAAAAAATAACTGTATTTGTTTAACATACTGGATTCACTGAAGATAAATCAACCACCCTATGCGGATCATCTCAACGACAGAATCGTTGAGCCTCTCTCCGACTGTGTCGCTGAGAATAAAATCCTTTGGTGGTTTCTCAGTCAACACTGTCGTTGAAAATAAAACAATAATTAAACATGCTCTCCACAATTAGGAAAGCATAAACTGTAGGTGTTTTGAAGCTAATATTCCAGCCATTTTGTTTTGACGAGAGCTAGTCCAGATCTAGACTAGATCTACTTGATCAACGATTTACACTGATGTAAAACCTACGTAAATCTACAAGATCTAGATTTACATTTAGATCTAGAAATCTACATTATTGACTAGAGAGAAAAAGTTAAAAGTATGCCTAGTGCGTCGAAAGTAAATGATAGAATCTAGATCTAGATCTAGTATTGTCTAGTAATTTTTTAGTAGCACTAGTCTAGATTCTAGATAGAAAGATAATTAATTATTTCCGTGGCATAGCTGTCCTTTAGGATCTATTCAATTTTAAATCTCTTCTATTTCAAATTGTTTGTAGATCTATATCTACAAGCTTAGGCTTAGGTCTAAAAATATACTAAAGCTACGCATTATTTCTAAACTTAATGCCATTAATGGCTAAAATTCACTGAGCATTGTTGCACTTAAGACTTAAACGTAAGGCCTAAATACTAAATAAAATTATTACGTTAGCTTAATTTTCGTGACAGCTTTTCTCTTCTTTTTTGCCATGCTTAATTTAAGTCACTTTCATGTGCTGGTAGCTTAAAATAAAACTTGTTTAGGAAGTTTATTTCTTTCTCCCTTTCATAATGCTGCAAATATGAGTAAGACGCTTATTATTATAATTAAATAGCTGCGATAAATAATCATTTGCATCTTTTTGGGGGTATTTCTTTTCCATGAACTGTGAAATATGGTATCTCAAATTTTGCGCGTAACTCGAAGCGAAATATTACTCGCTCAACTGCTCGTATTTAAAAAATCTGGTATGTCGAGGCACTAGAATGTTGAGGTACCACAGGATCTACTATGTATTGAAAGAAAACATAAATTAATTATAGAATAATAGGCCAATATAGTAATAAAGTATAGCTTTAGATTTTATTCAGCCTACTAATAAATAATTAAATAGGCCTAAAGTAGTACTAGATATTAGATAAATCACTAGTATTGTGTAGGGTTATTTTTATTAAAAAAAAACAGATCACATCTTATACATTAAGGCGGGCTCAATAAAATAAAAATAATTTATTTAGGACCTCGGCCTATGTTTTGGAGATCTAAAATTCTAAATGAAAAATAAATTATTAATTAGACCAACAATAGGCATAGAATAAGTATGCTAAATCTATTTTAGTATTTAAATTTAAGGCTCCGCCATCTATTAAAATTTTTATAAATGTCATAAAATGGCCTACTTAATTATAATTACTAATAGGCCTAAGTTTAAACTAGACCTAGCCTATTTTATTAGTAGAAAAAGTATTAGCCATTAGAGTTAAGATGGTATAGCCTTATGTAAATTAATGTAATCAGTGTTAGATATTATGATATCGATCAAGCATTTATTATATAATATCGGAAAGGGGCCTAGCACTCTCTTATTCATTAGTCTATTAGGTCTTACAAGTAGTTTAGCCTATTTATATATTATATAGGCTGTTTATTAAATTAGGCCAAAGGCTTATTAGGAAAAGGCTTAATAGGCTTTAGTTTTTAATTAGGCAACAAGGCAGAGGCTTAATGTTGCTTATAGATTTAATTTGAAATTATTATGATATACCCTACTCTGCGGCTATCACTATAGACTACTATAGAGTATATTATAGCCTAGGCCTATCTAAATAAAATAATTCAACTCACTTAGCTTACCATAATTTTTAAAAATGTTTAGTTAAGTATTCAGCTCTCTATGTCAGCTAAGGCCCATAATTGTAATTATCCTACTGTTAGATCTATTAATTATTTAATAATTAGATACATTAAGTCCTATACATTGGTCGTAGAGTAATACTATTGGGCTAGTAATTATATACAATATCTATACACCACAAGCCTACTTATCATTAATTTGGGAGTCTTTGCATTGACCTTAGTTTTCAGATGTAGCAGCCTAATTTTTTATCAGATTATACCATAAAATCAAAAGTAGACTTGTAGATCTTTTTAAAACAAGGCATGAAATATTAATTTAAATAATATAAACAAATAGCCTAAATAACAACTACACAAAGTTAAAGTCATAATAACTTTTTATAAAGGTATCTTGAATTTCAACTGGAGGTAGTTTTGATAAATATTAGTATTCTGAACATTAAAATAGGTAGACTTAACATAAATTTGTTCTGAAAACATATTTAGAAATTGGTTTTAAAAAATGAGGTTAGGATTGGGGTGATAACTAGTTGAGGATTAGATATGAAATTCATTGTGTTTATCCATGTTGTAATTTCTCTTTTACAGGTTCACCCAAAAAAAAGGGAAGATCTGATTTTTACCAGTAATAAGACTACAGCATACTAAATGACACAAGATGTTCTTTCTCTATTACCTCTTACATTTGACATAAAAGCAGGAAAAGGTAGGACAATTATTAATAAGCTGCTTTAAATTTTATAATTTGTTTTTTTTATAACTTAATTGTACCATTTTTATTTCCAATGATGATAAATATAGTTTAGTGTCATTTATATTTTAAAATATTTATATTATACTAGATATAATTTTCTTTCTATAATATTACTATCCAGGTTTAACAGTCTATGCCTACAACATAGATCTCCAGGACTAAAAGTGCAAAAAATTGCAATCAGTATATCACAAGTGTTATAACACAAGCATCTAATCTGCTTCAGTGGCCAGAACTGGGTGAATCCTCTCAAACATTAATCAGGTAAGTTATCACAAGTTTACTTAGGTTTATTTTGCACATGTTGATTGAGATAGATTTTTATTTGTATAAATATTGTATTTAAAAAATATTTTACCTAGTAAAACCAAGTCAGTGGTGATGATTGATACAATATGTATTTTTTTAAATATTTGTTTTGCAAAATATGCTGATTTGCAGGATATATATATATATATATATATATATATATATATATATATATATATATATAACATTATCATTTAGTGGTTTGTCTTACAAATTTGAATTATTTACTTAATCTGTCTTAACTGCCCAACAGGAACTAGGCATACCTAATGAGCATCAAGCTGATACAGTAGATGTACAGAAGAATTTTTACACAAGGTAAATATTGATAAATTTTAAGTTTTCTTTTTTTTAAGGATACATGTAGTGTGTTGGGAGAAAGGAATTAAATTATTGAAATTAGGCCTAATAGTTTATTTCTCTAGCTTATGTTTCACTTAAAATAACTTAAATTTTTCCCCCTTTATCACTAAAGCAAAATTTTATAGATATCTATGCCATGATTCATCTCATTCAATCACTTTTTTCTTGTTTTGTTTTGATGTATTAAACTAATTTAAACTAAAGATTTTTTTTTTGTGCTAATTTTATTATTTCAGATGGATGATTAAGAAAATCATTTTGTTTTGTTTCAGGAAGTGAAAAGTGATGTAAAAGGCAACTAATACTTCCATCTTCCATAGTTAAACAAGAATCTGCAAATGATGATAATTGCAATAATCTTGATATATTAATGTTTGGCTTTATAATTATATGCAATTGTCAGGTTTCATAAATAAATTATTTCTCAAAATTTGATGTATTTGGTTTTTTACTTTGTACATAAGATGCAAGTGATTGAAAGCTGAAAAGGGTTGTGTGTATTTATAGTATTCCCAGCACAAGTTGACATTAAAACAGCTGAAGCCCTTTAAAAAAAAAAAAAAATAATCTAGGAATGCTGTTTCTATTAGCTGAGCACATATTTGGAAAAGAACTTAATTGTTTACCAGAGAATACTGTGACCCAGTTTGTACTCCAGGCAAAAAGTGCCTATGGTTAATATTAAGTTAAAGAAAAGTATCAAACAAACAGGATAATATTAATAAGCAAGACCTCCACACTAGAGAAGTATGGAATGAGTGTTGCATGGAATTCAAATCAACTTTGATGTTGCTAATTGCTACACTGGCCATAATTGGCCTACATCGACTTTTGCTGAGGTAGGCAACTGTTTTGTTTAACTTTAGATATCGACTAAATAAAGAAGAAAACTGACACGCCAATCAAGAACTTGTAAATTTCGTGGTTGCTAAACCGAGAAGTCCTGAATTCAATCTCCCGTGTAGATGAGGCTCTATAGTTGGGGATAGCAACCCATCTTGGGGATACATCACTTGTTCTTGGATTGACAAAGGATAAGAAAAGAAATCCAGAAAGAAAAGCAGCTGAACGAAGAAGAAAAAGGCTGGATATATTAGGTACCAACTGTACAATTTTAACAGACACACAGTTCAAACTACACATGCACTTCAATGACAAAGTTCAGTGAAGCCATAATGTTGAGTTTGACTGAATGAAGAACAACGATATTATTATCTCAAGCAAAGTTAAGGTTTATTGTCTTAAAGACATTATCGTGGATTGATTTAGACTAAGACTTCCAAGAAGTTGGTAAAAGCTCTATCCTCCCTGTAAAATAAGCCGGCAACGATGGTTCTTCTTATTTCTCTTGTCTTTGATGTTGCTTTCAAGAACTTGCATGAGCTTAGATTACCTACATAAGGCTACAAAGTTTGGAATCTTGGCTTTCTTATAGTGGACCTGGCTACAGGACATTACCCCCCCTCTCGTATTTACCCTCCCGGAGCAATTACCCTTGTCAATAACCCCCTTGGAGAATCCCACCCCCACCCCTCGGCCTCAAGTTATGATCCTAACTCAAACTCTATACCTATGTATTTCCTTAATGCTAACCGATAAAAAATGACCAAACCCTAAGCATTCACCTCAGCCTAAAACTTAACACATAACCAAAACCAACTTTGGGCTTAGGTTTCAGCCTAACCTTGACCATAACACTAACCCTAATCCTAGCCCTAATCCTAACCCTGACCATAACACTAACTCTAATTCTGAATCTAACCCTAACCTTAGCCATAACGCTAACCCTAATTCTAACCCTAACTCTAACCCTAACCCAAACCGTAACCATAACCCTAACCTTAGCCCGAACGCTAGCCCTAGCCCAAACTCTAACGCTAACCCTAACCCTAACCATAACCCTAACCCCAGCTGTACCTTAAGAGCTGTGTCCGTGTGTGTGTAGGGGTGAGGGGTGAGGATGTCCTCCTTGGCGGGGGGTAAATGACAGGGGGTAATTGCTCCGGGAGGGGGGGGGGGAACTATTAAACTGTAAGTTCTACTATTTAGTACATTTGGTTAACACAATGTAGTCACACATGTAAAACAAAATAAGCAATGTTTTATTATTTCTATCCTTAAAAAAATGCAAAATAAATGCTACGCCATTAACTCAACCCCCTTTCCCCTCGTTACATATCGTCACATAAAGCCACCGCCCAAAATGATGGTGACGTCAATTTACAATCATAAAGTGATCACCCATTAACGACGACTCACTCTTCAGACGATTTTGCACCCAACCCCCCCCCCCCCCCTTCTCTAATTGTAACACATTTTCACAAAAAAGCCAGATCTTCGCACCCCTCCACTCTCTTTAAAAACATCACATCTCAACACATAACCTCCTCCGCCATTCCACTGAAACTGCATTTTTTGTTTTTATAGATTCTTTTCTAAAATATGTACTGACCTCGATAAACATTGAAATAATCAATGAATTAATACCAAAAGCAATCTTTTAAAGCTAGAAATAACGGATGAAAGCAAAAATGTGTCCACACACTTTCTGATCACCCCTTCCCATAAATGAAAAAAAAAGTCTGAACCCCCTTCAATACTAAAGGAGAGTATGGACGTTGATGGAGGATCCCAACGTTAAAAATTAAAACAGCGCAAAATTTCAGGAATCCATGTTACATATTATTATTTTCCTTAGGTATAAATAAGGTATTTACAATGTGTTTTATATTTTACGAGCCGACCCGCGGCTTGTCATACGCCGCTATTTAGTTGTTTTATTTTCTACTTTTCAGTAATTCATAATTTGTGAATTCGACAGTAACAATGCTGCCACTGAAAATATTTGCTTTATAACACTATCAGTAGCTCGTTAAGGACGATAACACCCCTCCCCACCCTCCTTTCCCACAAACACTTACCCCCCCCCCACGAGAAAGCAGCCTCCTCTTAGTTACCTCCACTAAGTTTAAAATCGTTTCAAACTAAATTATCTGCCCCTAATAGCCGCCACTAAACCCGGCTCTACGATTGTAAACATTTAGCGTAAACCACAGCTCACCAGACCATGTGGGGATGGGGGTGGTAGGGATATGCCTAGAGAGGAAGAAAGGGAGCTGCTAGGCGCGCTTACAGCTTGGTGTTTTCTATGGTATCCATGAAGAGAATTTTATATATATATATATATATATATATATATATATATATATATATATATATATATATATATATATATATATATATATATATATATATATATATATATATATATATATATATATATACATATATATATATATATATATATATATATATATATATATATATATATATATATATATATATATATATATAAGAAATATATTAAACCAGCGTACCCGTCCCGCGCGTTGCTGCGGTCTCAGAAGACAGACTGACACAATATTTTAAGAGGATTCCATAAATACATTAGCAATCACGTATTTTTTTTACGCTTGACCTTGATTTCTAATTTAAATTTAAATGTAATCAAAGCCGGTGTTATATTGCTTTCATCATAGTCGTTGCGGCGCAAATTCTACCGCACACAGTAGCCCATTGTATCCATAATGTATCGCACTCTTTAAAATGAACGTAGGCGCAATAGTGTTTATGAGGGACCCACACAGGGGCGCTGGACCACACGCCAGTGGTGTTGTTTCACCCCTGTGCAGGATGCCCAATCGTATTCTGTTCCCGGGCGACTAACGACGACACTTTTTTTCATTTTGTCATTAAATACAGTAGACAAAAGTTTCCCTACTGTAGGGCGCTCTTTAAAACTCATAGTGTTCCTCTGGAAGCCAGGGGCGCACCGGGTCAAACGAATTGTCATCGAATGTCGTGTGCCACGGAGTCAATATTGTAGAGTGCTCTTTAACACAACCTTAGGATATCCCAGGGCGCCAAATCGCATCCTGCCGGGGCGCCGGCAGACGCGCCTGATTCCATATAGTCAACGATTATTGTTGCCCATCCTGTCTTTAGTGTATAAATTTAAAAACAAAACACGAACGTAGGCGTCATAGTGTTCACATGGTAGCATGGGGCGCTTCGGGTTACGTAATATCCGGGGCGCCGACGGGTGCGCCTACTGCTGCTTTTTTACCGCTGACAATGGTAAGGCCCCTTAGCCGCCATGCAGAACGCTCAAGTTTTAATATCGCCGCGCTGGAATTTTGGGCGCCAAGCCTTGTATTAACAAAAATCGCACCCTCCAGGGAAACGCCCATAATAAATTATAATTTTTGTTTTCGCAGAAACCTTCTCGTGAGTTTTTTCATTAACTCTCGAAAGTTTATCGGCACTCAGATGAACGATGTAAAACAGCTTCCGTTTTGTTTTTTACAAATTATGTAGAGAAAAATTGCACCCTCCAGGAGCGCCGCCCTTGTAAAATAAAAAATAAAATTCTTACTGTAACCTCCCCTAAAGTTTTATGGCGAGCGGATGAACGGGATTAAACCGCAATCTACTTTTACTTGTATATACCCTATATAGAGAAGAATCGAATCGCGCCCTTCTGGGGCACCGTCCATAGAGGACATAAACAAACCCAGAAACAAACAAGCAAAATTTCATATATATATATATATATATATATATATATATATATATATATATATATATATATATAATATATATATATATATTATATATATATATATATATATATATATATATATATATATATATATATATATATATATATATATATATATATATATATATATACACATAGAGAGAAATATACATAATTCTACATATGCATATATATATATATATATATATATATATATATATATATATATATATATATATATATATATATATATATATAGCTACATTTGGTGACTTCCCATTTTGCCCAATGGCGTCAATTTTTGCACATAATCCACCTATTAATTCATGTGAAAAAAGCATTGTTTTGATCGTAAATTATTAGATTTTGGTATCAGCCCCTTTCCGGTCGTCGCTTAGCAAATCTGTTATCCTAAAACTCAACAAGCATGTATTCATCTGTACATTTTGCAGTTTGTGTCATTTCCCCTCACCCTCCCCCCCCCTCCCCCCCCCCCCCCCCCACCCTTGGGTGATAGTTTTTAAACGTGCACAGTTAATTGTATATTTTTATCTGCAGTCAGTTATTAGTTGAGTTAACCCTCATTAGTCATTTATTGAACTGGCAAAATGCATACTTCTTCTTTATATTTTGCAATTTTTCGCCATGGTGTCACCCCGAAATTTTGCCACCTTGCGCAGTCCGCAGCCAGAGTTTCTTCCAGGCATCTTACCGCCCCCCCCCCCCCCCCCGAACGAAATGAAATTTATATAATTTGTATAGAAAATATATACTTTTAACAGTGTCCGCCCCCCCCCCCCCCGA